CCCTTTAAAAAATCTAGGTGAAATTCATAGAACATAAAATTGACCATTTTAAAGTGAACAGTTCACTGGCATATTCAGCACATTCACAGTGCAGTGCAACCACCACCTCCGTGCAGTTCTGGAACTTTCTTGTGCCACCAGAGAGACCCCAGCCCCTCCCCCGGCAAACCCTGATCTTCATTGTGTCCCTGGATCTGCCTCTTCTGGGCCTTTCCGAGAAACGGAATCGCACACCGCGTGGCTCTTTGCACGTGGCTTCCATCTCTGAGCGTCATGTTCTCCAGCTGGGGCCACGCCGTAGCACGTGTCAGGGCTTCATTCCCCTTGGTGGCTGACCACCCACCCCCCCCGCCGTCCTGCTGTGTGGATGGACCACGGCAAGTCCGTGCCAGCGTTGGTGGGCTGTCATGGACCATGCTATTATGAACGTTTGTGAACAAAACCCACTGTTTTAGTTTTGTAGACTAACGCTGGACGCGGCCTGGAAAAGTGAATAGATAGGATTCTAGAACATTCTGACCCAGCCGAGGAGACACTGGAGCAGAGCCTGAAGACCCAGAAGAGCCTGAAGAGCCTGAAGTGAACACAGTGGCAGAGACTGAGGACGCCCCGGGGACAAGAGTGGCCGGTGTGTCCACGAGGCAGGAGGCTGTGCCACCTCCATGCAACGTGCATCCCACATGCTAACGCGCATTCCAGTAAAAGTGTCACCAGCAATACAGCCACTGAACACAAGTGGGATGCATGCCCTCCATGGGGGCACGATCCACAACAGCCAAAACAGGGTAGCCACGGACAAAATGTGATCCATCCACACAATGGAATGTTACTCAAGACAGGCCAACGCGTGCTCCCACAGGGGTGGGCCCAGAGGGCATCGCGCTCGGGGAGATAAGCCTGTGGCAGGAAGACAAATATGGCGGGATTCCGCTTCTCGAGGCCCCTTGAGCCGTCAGATCCCTGGAGACAGAAGGTGGATGGAGGTCACCAGGGGCAGGGGTGGGTGGGGAGTCAGCGATTCATGGGGACAGAGCGTCGGTTTGGGAAGATGGAAGCTCTGTCGGGAATGAGCTGTGCTCCTAAAGACGGTGTTATTTTACCTCAGTTAAAAATATGTGAAAATATTCTGCGAGTCTGTGGATGGGGAAAGACTTCTCGATCTAAGGACCAAAATGGAAGCATTTCCCAAGTAGCCGAGCGACAGGCTGAGTCTAAAAATAGCAAATATCAAGGCTGAAACCCAAACGCAAGACACACGGACACGTGAGACCGGAGGGGGTGGACGACTCCTCAGTGTGGGAAGGAGTGAGGACCATCCTGGCCCCAGGCAGGCTGCGTCCACACATGTTCCTTCACAAGCTGCCTGGTCACCACCATCATCTGCGCCCCTCAGGGGACCCAGGCGGACACCGCAGCTTGGTTGGGCCCCAGCAGGGTGGCCCCAGAGGACATGTGGACAGATCCTCCATCCAGAGGGCCAGTGAGGCCACAGCCAGGTGTCAGAAGCGGGAGGCCCTAGGCAATAGCAGCCTCTCTCCTGTGACCCCCGTCCCCTACCCCACTGCGCCACCAGCCACGGGGCAGACACCTGCCTGCCTCCAGGGACCCCTCGGTATGACTGCTGGGTGCTGAGTTAGGAGGGAGGGAGAAGACCCAGTAGCATAGGCTGGGTACCACGTGGGCAGGGATTGGGGGCTCTGGAGGCTAACCCAGGGCAGCTCCCGGCATCCCGTCCAACCCAGGCCCGATGGCCCCCAGAACACGGATGTGGGTAGGGGGCGCTGGGTGTCTCCCGTTCCCCCAAGGCCACTCCCCAGCTTTATCCTCACCCCTTATGGACCACATCGCCACCTCCCAGACTGTGTCTGGCAACGGGGAGCCCAGCAGGGTACGGGAGGCATGGAGGAGAGGGGTTCAGGTCCAGGGCACTTCACTGTCCACCCCTGCAGAAGGTCGGTTTATTAAAGTCTTCTCAAACTACCCAGTGGAGTGGGCTGCCTGTTTCCCATGGACAGGCTGGGCCCGGGCAACCTCAGGGAAGAGAGGAGACACAGCAGGGCGTTGAGCAGAAGAGAGCCTGGACAGGACAGTGTGACGGAGCCCGGATGACACCAGCCAGTCTGGACAGGACAGGACAGTGTGCTTGGCTGCAGGGAAGGGAGGTGGAAGTGTCCGGGATGGGGACCTCCCCTTACCGGCCAGGGTGAGAGAGGGGGTCCCAGGTATGATATCTGCGGTATGCAGATGCCCTGAGAAGTGACCACTGAAGACCCAATTCTCAATACCCATCTCCCTGACACTCCCAAAGCACATCACAGCTCTCTGGGCCCTCCGGGTTCCTGTGGGAAGTCCTCCTTGGTGTCTACCCATGCTCTGCCCATTCTCCTGCCTTAGGACACCTGAGGGGGTTGGGCCCTTCCAGGCCCCACCAGGGCACCCCTACATCGATCCTGCTGCTAGGGATGGGCCTGGGAGGAGCTGTTGTCAGCCGGGGCCGTGGTGGCCAGCCTCGGTTTCCCTCACTGTGGGGATACCTCTCCCACCTCCTGCCCCGCCCTGCCAGGCAAACAGACCCCTCCTGCCTCTGCCCTCCCAGCCAGGAGGCAGCCTCGCCCTGCCCCTGCAGGCCGGATTTCCTGAGCAAGGTCACTCTGGGAGCCACTGGAGCCCGGCGGCCAATAAAACGCATCGATGCGGAGAGAGAGCCCATAAAGCAGGTCACCCTGGCTAGAGCTTGTTTGCTCTGTGCCGCCCCCCACCAGCTCAGGGCCTGGGCACGCAGGGCTTCCCGCAGCTGTCCCCAGCCTGTGCCAGGTGTGGGAAGGCTGTGTCCCCCGGCGTCCTGAACCTACCCCCAGCTCCTGTCCCCCCACAGACTTTTGGGGGTGTCTGGGTCCTCTTGCCTCCTGCTCAGGGCTCCACCCTCACCCAAGGCTTTAGAGACTGTCCACACTGGCCAAGCCTGGTTCCCAGCAACCACCCAGAGCCAGGGTCCCAGGGCTGACTGGGATCTCCAGGAACATCCCATGCACACATGCTCATGCACACACACTCAGACACACGTCCGGGCATATACACATGCACACTCACACACACTCACACATACACACATGCATGCTCACACAAGTGCGCACGCACACACGCATGCACACGCTCACACCCTGCACGGCAAGATCCAGCCAGGGCTCTGCGGACGTCTAGCACATGCGCGGGTGCACACATGTGAGCGCGGGTGCTCTGGGCTGGCGTGGCCCTGGGGAGGCAGCTCACGATGTCAAATCAATTGGGAGAAACTGATTTGGGGAGATTTCCGAGCCATCTGCTCACTCCCCAAAGTCATTCTGAGTGGATTCACTTTGCATCCCAAGGCCAGCCCTAAGCGGCAGGCTGAACGGGCTTCAGTTTCTCCCAGGGCACCCTCCCTCCCTGGGATGCTGGCCCCTGGGTGGGGGGAGGGGTGGGTCTGGTCACCAGCTAGGTTTCGTGGCCCCATGTGTGGGGGAGCCGCCCCAGCCCCCAGGAACTCAGCAGTGGAGACAGCCAGCTCCCACACACCCAGGGGCAGGGGCCCCTAATGAGCCTCCTGCTGCCCACGCCCACGGGCCCAGAAGGATCAGACGTCCCCCTGCATCCTTTGAGGCCACATCCTGTTGCCACCTCCCAGAAAGCCCACCTGGCTGCCCCCGGGGAGACGCCTGGCCCTTCTTTAGACCCTGCTTGTTTGTGCTGTCGCTATTATTACCTGAGTGTCCCGGCTCCCACGTCCAGTGGGCGCTTGCCCATCCCCATCCCAGCCTCCTGTGACCCACGAGCCCTGATCTGCACCAGCTTCGATTGGCTCCAGGGACAATATTTGCTTTGGGAGAGAGTCAAACATTTATTCTCTAATTTATTCAGGAGATCGGGTTGTCAAACACAAGCGCCCTCGTTACGCTCTCGTGTTTCCAGGCCTTGGCCTCTGTCCAGGGTCTGTGCAGCCCAGGTCGTGCTGACCAGGCCTTTCCCCTGCCTGGCATGCACCTGCTCCCTGTCCCCTGCTGCAGGTTGGAGGTCCTGCTCCAGGCAGACCCAGGGAGCATGAGCCGGGGTGGCACCAGGCATGGCTGTCTAGACGGGGGTGGGGGGGGGCATGCAGGCCGAGTGAGCCCCCACATTCTGGTCCTTCTCCTTCCAGCCTTGGACAGAGGCCCAAGGCACATGGGACCCCAGCAAGTCAAGGGCCAGGGGCGGTGGGAAGGGTGGTGCTCCTGGGTGTGGCCGAGGCTGCTCTGGTCTGGGCATCGCAGAATTCCTCAGGGGCCTGGCATTTGCTGGCATTTGCTGGCATTTGCACCCACACAGTGTTCCCTCCGAGTGACTGCTGCTTGCGTTGGGAGCCGCTCCCCCGTTATCACGACAGGTCTCTTCGTCTGCTCTTGTCCCCCGCCCTCTCAGGCCAGAGCCCCTGACAAAGCAGAGAGATGGCTGTGGGTGCCCCCACCTCCCTGGGACGGCCTCTCAACGCCCTAGAGACCCAGGAGCCTGCAGGGCCGACTCTGCACCCCCAATTCAGCCACCTTGCGAGCTGCTCCCCCAACCCCCTCCCACCATGGAACCAACCGTGACTGTGGGCAGCGGGCTGCGGGGGGGGGGGGTTTCCATGGCAACAGAGCTCCGCAGTCCCAGACGTCCCCTCTGGGGTCCCAGCCCACCCTCGCTGCCCTGCGGGCTGTGCACCCTTTATCTGCCACCCCCCAGAGTCAACAGTTGCAGGTGCCGGGGAGCCCAGTGTGTCCAAGTGTCTTTAATTTCACAGACTCACACTCGACTCGGCCAGGTGACCCAGGGTTGATGTGAGGAGGCACAGGGGGCCGGAGGGCAGAGGCAAGCGGTCCCCAGCTCACACCGGTGGTCACTGCCCCTGGGCAGGCTGGCACAGGCCAGGGGCAGGATAAGAAGGTCGAGATGCCCCGAGCATCCAGCCTCTCCCGCCCACGCCCTCGCATCCCTGAGCCTCCCTGCAGGACCACCCACGGCCTTGCCCAGGACCGCCGGTCCTCACACCGTGCGGAGCATCCCGGCCACTGCAGGGGGCACCTCAGCAGGCACTGGAATGTTGGGGGAGGCTCCGCCCGGCAGGGAATCCAGACGCCACCAGAAGCCCCCCGCCCACAGCCCTCACAGCCGGCTGGTCTGCATGAGCCCGTTGGCCTCGGGGCCGCGTATGGGCAGCGTGGCCTCCTGTGGCTGGCTGGTCTTGTCGGGCTGTGGCTCCGTGGCATCTGCGTCCTCGGCACCGTAGCCCTTGCGGAGGCACAGAACCTTCCGGAAGCTCTGGCGGAAGTTGTCGGAGAGAAAGCCATAGAGCACGGGGTTGGCACAGCTGTTGGCGTAGGACAAGATGACCACGAAGAAGTAGGCACCAGCGGATGCCGGCTCCTCAGGCAAGACAAAGGCCAGATTGACGATGTTGACGATGAAGAAGGGCAGCCAGCAGCCCACGAACACCACCACCACCACGACTACCATGCGGGTCACCTTGCGCTCCGAGCGCCGCCGCGTGGCGCCCACCCGCACGCCCGATGCCTTCACCTTGACCACGATGAGCAGGTAGCACAGGCAGATGACCAGCAGCGGCCCAAAGAAGCCCAGCACAGACGTGTAGATGATGAACACGGCGCCCCACAGGCCCACGGGCTCCGGCCAGCTGAGGTTGCAGGTGTTCCAGCCCTCCTGGATGTCTGCAAAGACCACCAGCGGCAGGGACATGAGCAGTGAGAAGGCCCAGACCGCGGCGCTGGCCAGCTTGGCCACCCTGGGGCGGCGCCAGTGGGTGGAGCGGATGGGGTGCACCACGGCCAGGTAGCGGTCCACACTCATGACGGTCAGGCAGAAAATGCTGGTGAACTGGTTGATGCCGTCCAGCGTCATGACCAGGCGGCACAGGACAGGGCCGAAGGGCCAGTAGGAGATGGCGTTCTGCGTGGCCAGGAAGGGCAGCCCCAGCATGAGCAGCACGTCGGCCACAGCCAGGTTGAGGATGTAGATGTTGGTGACCGTCTTCATCTTGGCGTGGCGCAGCACCACATAGATGACCAGGGCATTGCCGCCCAGCCCCACCGCACACACCAGCAGGTACAGCACGGGCACCACCACCGCTCGGGCGCCCGGCGAGGGCGCCAGCCCCGCCAGCGTCCCGTTCTCACTGCCTGTGCTGGCGGCCGCAGAGGAGGTGTTCCAGCTGGCTAGTGTGGGGGCCGGGAACAGAGGCTCCATCGCGGCCACCGCGGGCCAGGGCAGGGCGAACGCAAGCACGGCGCGTCCTCTCTGCAGAGAAAAGGGAGGGCGGCAGAGCGATTAACGGGCCAGGGTGCTTCCTCCCCGCGGCCCCACCTGCCCGGAGGCACGGGATCGCCCCATGGTAGGTAAACAGTATTACTCACGTCCAGCTCGGCTGGGAATCACATTAAGCAAATTGTTTGGAAAACCAGCCCAGAGAGGAAGGAGCAGAAGGACAGCTCTGTGACATCTGTTGGGACCCCGACGGCTTCCAGAGACCTGGCTGTCCCCACAGCCCCGTCTGCCCCAGGACAGCCCGCCGCACGGCCTCCACCTCCCTCGTTTGCTCGGGCCTCAGGGAGCCTGGGGGTGGCCTCTCCACCTCCTGTCTTGCCAGCAGAGATGGAGGATGGTGCAGGATGGGTGTGGGGAAAGGAAGACTGGAACAGCGGCCGGGCATACCGAGCCCCTCACGCCCAGCCAATGCCGGCTGGAGGTAGTTACACCTGCTGAACCCCGCTCTCCTGGGTGACCTCCTGGAGCCATCGGGAGGGTGCCAGGCCTTCCGCACGGCCGAGGAGCCAGACCTCGGGCCGCAGAGGCTCTGCCAGCGTCCACCAGGCCTCAGGAACACCATCCCCTTGAGAGCCCCCGCAGAGCCCACAGACTGGCCAGAGGAGTTGGTTTCCCCAGAGCCACCGCTGCGGCAGGATGTCTCTGGGCCAAGGAGATGACGCAGGAAACCACTTCGGGGGCCGTCATCAGAGGGGCGAGGGACGCACTCCAGGCATGCCCCTCCACAGCCATGGACGGCAGCATCTCTTAAGGCCCGGGCAGAGGGCGTGGAGTGGGGACGGGCAGACGAGGTCTCCACACATGCCATAAGCCAGTGAATGCACAGAACCCACGGCATAACCCCAGCCCGTGCCACCGACCAGGAGGAAGTGCTCGTGTGTGAGTGGGGGCCGGCCACTGGGACGGGGTGTGCATGGGGTTTTGTAGAGAAAGAGCAGAAAACATTAACATCCTTGGTTCAAGGTCATGGGCACACATGTCTCCTTAGTTTTTGTACTTCTCTGTATGTTTGAGGAGGTTCATAAAAACGATGATGTGCAAGAGAAGACAAGCATCTCCTCTGACGGGGGGAGAGGGGAGGGGGCACAGGCACCTGCTGCCCCAGTGGGCCATGTTGCACAGGGGGTCGGGGCCAGCAGGGAGCCCCAGTTCCCCTGGGGGCCCCAGCCAGGGCCACTCAGGGCCAGAGAACCCCCAGAGCCCTGCCAGGCTGGCCCGCAGTGCCCCCGGGGACCGTCAGAACGGGGCACGCCCCCAGACTGGCGAGACAAGCCAGGGAGCCCAGAATAAAGCACGGTGACCATATCAGAAAGAAACCCTCAGCTCCCGCTGGGAAGGCATGCTCGAACCTCCAAGTTCACTCGGCTAACTGCCGCTAGGACGTGTGCCCTAGAAAATCAACAGTGGGGAGATGGGTCAGTGGATTCATTTCCGACAGAATAAAAGTAATAGGAGTCTACAAGTATGTTTAAGATCTATTTAAATAAATATGTGTAGGATCCTCAATAAGGCAGGCATAAAAATATTATGAAACAAATTTGGCTCCTGTCTAAGAAGTAAAATGAACAAGTGTATATTTTTGAAAGTTACAACTCTTAGGTGTGAAAAATCATTTGGACTTAAAAAAAAAATCCACAAAAGTCAGAATCCACTCAGGTCTGGATGTGGCTGAAGAGAGAATCGGGGAATGGGAGTGGAGCTGAGGGGACCCCCTGGGAGCGCGGTCGGCTGACGAGGGGGTATAGGCAGCGGCGGGTGCTGGATGCTGCTGGAGAGCACAGAGCTGCCCCAGGGACGAGCACAGATAAAATAGCGTCAGGGTCCACCCACAGAACATCAAGGATGCCGAGAAAATCCTACAGAATGGCAGCCGGGAGACAAGGCAGAAACCCAGGCAGAACTTGGAACAGGACGGCAGGAACCAGTGGTGTCTGGACACCAAGCACTGGGGAGAAACGCTGTAACACTGGGGTCCCCACTGGGAGGGGAAGGAGAGGCTGCCCGTGTTGGGCTGGATTTGCTGCTCCTGGTGCTGGGCGCCCCGGTGTGACATGGTGACCAGAGGTGAGGTGAGGGACAGTAACTCAAACAGGGCAAGGTGTGATCTCCAGGGACAACTGCATTTCCAGACAAAGCCAGGGGTCCCTCGGTTGGAAGGGGCGTTTCTGGGTTTGGGGGCCCACCCTTCCCCGGGTGCCCAGCCAGGAGGAGGGCCTTCTGGGGACCTTTAGGCAAGGGCCGGCCGCAGGCTCGCTCCCACAGGTAGAGATCAGCCTGCTCGTCTCTGCCCCAGACCCCTGCTCACATTTTGGAAAAAAAAAAAAATACTCAAGAAGAGACTGTCAGCTCACTCTGCGTGGGAACCCGGGGTGCTGGGTGGGGAAGAAGCAGCAGCCCCCTAAAGGTGTTCAGTTCACCCGTGGAGGGAGGGGCGACTCAGCTCAGATGCATCCCTGGTGCAGGGCCTGGGTCCCCAGCATGTGGCAGCTGAACATGAATTTGACTCTAAAGAGGCCACTCAGGGTTCCTCTGAGATTTGCTTCCAGGTGCTCTGCCAACCCCCCAAAGCCCCCAGTTCCTCAGACTGCACAGCGGTAAAGAACAAAATTAGGTCGCTATGGTGGCGCCTGCCTTTGGGAACATAATTCTACAGGAGCCATTATTTAGAAGCGGCAATCTTCTTAGTCACAGAAATTACACTTGTGGAAAATTGTCCCTGGGGCCCTTTCTCCCCCGGTGGGGGGTTTAGCGGAGGGGGGAGATGTGGAATCAGCCATGGGCCAGCACCGGGGCTCTCTGACCCAGAGGCACGCTGTCCCAGGCCTGCAAGCTGACCTGGGGTCCTGAGGAAGGGCCAGGAGCTGACGCAGCCCAGGGAGCAGACCCCCTACCCCGCCCCACACCCTGGCCCACTTCTCTGAGCCCCGGCGGAGGTAAAGTCACGGATCGCGTGAAATAACTCACGTGAGCAAGCTGCTATGTGCAGTGCCTGCCATGCAGTGGGCGCCAAATAATGGCTCCCACCCCCCTGCCCCGGACAGCCCAGCATCTCCTCCCTAGTGTCCAAAAAGGGGCCTGCCCTGGGCTCCAAGGAGAAGGGCGCTGGAGGCTTCCCAGGGGCTTGGGGATGGGGATGGGGCCTCAGTGCCGCGTGCTGCCCAGTCTCTTCCGGACTGGCCCCCCAGGAGGCCGGCCGGAGAGTGCCTGCTTCCTCCACCCAGGGTCAGAGACAGCCTGGCTTGGCTCAATGCCCCTGGGATCCGCACCTCACCTGGGAGTCCCCCCACCTGAGTGGCGCAAGGGCAAACACTGGGCGAGGTGGGGGCCTGCCTCCCCCACGGAGGGCCCGCAGCGGGAGACTAAGGTGGGCGTGGGCTGGCATGGTGCAGCAAACAGGAGGCTGGCCAGCGCAGCCCCCTCCTCAGTCCCAGCTGGGACTCCACGCCCTGCAAGATGTTTCCAAGGCCGTATTCTGCCTCCAGCACACTTTCTGGGAAATCTGGGTCATTTTACCAGGAACCCATGGAGGGTCATTGTGTTGATGCCATCAACCTCCATCCACTGTCCACTTGAGGCTCCCCAGTCCTCCCCCACAGGAAACGGCCTCACTCTCTGGCCTGCTGGGGCTCCTGGCCCTTGCTCAGGACCCCAGGTCAGCTTGCAGGCCTGGGACAGTGTGCCAGGCAGGTGGGCAGGCGAGGGCCCCCCCTGGACCCTGGGTGGGGAGACAGCGCGCAGGCGAACTTTCAGGGCGTGCGCTCCCTTCTGGGTAAGGACTACGAGGACTCCAGAGCACTGTTGCCAAGCCCTGGACATGCGGGGGCTCCCTTCCCAGGACCCCCAGAAGTTGGGCCGACTCTTCCCGCCGCGGTCCCACAGCTCGCCGTCGGCCTCCCCCGGGTGCGCCATGGCGGACCCCACCTCGGCTGGCCCGCGCCCCGGCCCCCGCACGCACGCGTCCTCGGACCTGCTTCCCCGCGCGCCCCACGCCTCCCGCTCCCTCTGCTTCCTCTTCCCACACCCACCCCCCCAAGCCACAGTCTCTTAACGAACCCACCCCAGGCGCGCCGCCCACCCTCCGCCAGCCTGGGGCGAGCCCCGCGGCGGCGCCCACCGCGAGGAGGTCGGGCCCGCAGAGGCGCGGCGGGCAGAGCGGCTGTCCGAGTCTCCCTGCTGCTTCGGCCCTGACCCCCCGCGCACCGGGTCCAGCAAGGGTGAGGGAAGCCAGGCAGCGGGAGGGAATGGAGCGACTGGGACTGGGGAGCGGATGGAAGGGCAGGGGAGGCCCCTGGGGTGGTGTTAGGTGAGCCCCGGGGAAACGCAGGGAAAGCGCGGGGGACGGGGGCGCCTCAGGCGGGGGACGCGCGGCAGGACCCGGGACCAGGGCCGCGCGGGGCTTCGTGCAGGGCAGTGAGACCCGCCCCCCCCCCCCCCCCCCCCCGAGGATAACCGGGATCTGCGCAGGGCCCCGGCGAGAGCGGAGGGCTCGGGCGCGCGGCACTCACCCGGAGGCGGGAGCCAAGTGCCGGCGCTGCGCTCGCTTCGGCGCTCCGGGCTTGGGGCGCCGGCTGGGAGGCGGGGCGAAGGGGGGCGGGGCGGGGCGGACAGTAGGCTCCCCGCACCCCGCGGGTCTCTTCCCCATCCTTCCCCGAAGCCCACGCACGTTCATCCGCAGCGCTTGCCCCATTCACTCCTAGAACAGCGGCGCCCCTCTTCTGTCTGCCCTGGCCACAAACCTGAGCTTGGAGGGTCCTGCCTCCAGCAGGGCAGGAGGGGCCCCGGGTAGAGCCCTCCTGAAAGTCTAAGGATGGGGAAGTGGTCCTCCCTCAGGAGAAGCGCTGGAGGCCTATGTCTGACGGATGGAATGACCGGGCCAGAGATGGCGGTCAGGACGATGGAGGGGCAGCAGATGGCCCCAGCTG